CGTTGTCCTCTCTGTGTCTCTTTCGGCTTTTTTTTTGGAGATGGAGTCTCTCTCTTGTTGCCCAGGCTGGAGTGCAGTGGCACGATCTTGGCTCAGCACAACCTCTGCCTCCCAGGTTGAAGTGATTCTCCTGCCTCAGCCTCCCGAGTAGCTGGGATTACAGTTACCCATCAGTATGCCTCGCTAATTTTTGTATTTTTTTTTTTTTAGTAGAGATGGGATTTTGCCATGTTGGCCAGGCTGGTCTTGAACTCCTGACCTCAGGTGATCTACCTGCCTCTGCTTCCCAAAGTGCTGGGATTACAGGTGTGAGCCACCATGGCCGGCCTGTTTCGTCTTCTTAGGGAACCCTACTCATATTGGATGGGGGCCCACCCTAATGCAGTCTGGCCTCATTTTTTTTTTTTTTCCGAGATTGAGTCTCACTCTGTTGCCCAGGTTGGAGTGCAGTGGTGCAATCTCGGCTCACTGCAACCTCTGCCTCACGGGTTTACGCCATTCTCCTGCCTCAGCCTCCTAAGTAGCTGGGACTACAGGCACCCGCCACCATGCCCGGCTAAGTTTTTGTATTTTTAATAGAGATGGGGTTTCACCGTGTTAGCCAGGATGCTCTCGATCTGCTGACCTCATGATCTGCCTGCCTCGGCCTTCCAAAGTGCTGGGATTACAGGCGTGAGCCACCACACCCAACCCTGGCCTCATCTTAACTAATGAAATCTGCTCCAATCCTGTTCCCAAATGAGGTCCCCTTCTCAATACTGGGAATTAGGGCTTCAACACTTGAATGCTGGGAGGACACGGTTCAACCCATATCACTATTTTTGTTGTTATTACTTATTAGTTAATAAGCCAATCCTGGTGGGGTGCGGAACTCCTCCGTGTTCTCTGTGACTATAATTCCAGTTTTCAGTCTGCCCCTGCAAGGGTGCTGAGGCCATGGGAGATGGGACATTGGTGTCTCTTTAGCTTGGTGCAGAAGCCTGGCCCCAGGGGTCTTAGTTTTCTCAACTGTCGAATGGGCTCAGTGTGACCCTGGTGTTGAAGTCACTTGACTGACTGTGGAATCACGTGACCATGGAGTCCCAGCTGGATGCAGGCAGACAGCAGTCACCTGGACCATTGGACCCTTGGATTCACCCAGGCACCAAGTGTCCCAGGGCAAATCAGAGTGTCAGTGCCTGGCAGACTTCCCTGCCCAGCTTTCACTCCTGCCCTGCCCTCACCAGCATACGTGAAGCCAGCATACACAATGTGCTTCATAAATGAACCCTGAACTATGCTAGCATAGAGCTAGCACACAGAAGGTGCTCAATCAATGCCCCAGGGTCTGTACTAGCATGGAGCCAGCACACAGAAGGTGCTTAATAAATGCTTCATGAACTACACTTAGCATGGAGCCAGCACACAGAAGGTGCTCAATAAATGCTCCATGAGCTGCATTTATCATGCAGCCAGCACACAGAAGGTGCTTAATAAATGCTTCATGAACTATACTTAGCATGGAGTCAGCACACAGAAGATGCCTAATAAGTGCTCCATGAGCTGTACTTAGCATGAGGCCAGCGTACAGAAGGTGCTCAATGAATGCTCCATAACTGTACTTAACCTGGATCCAGCATACAGAAGGTGCTTAACAAATGCACCATGAGCTGTATTTAGCATGGAGCCAGCACACAAAAGATGCTTAATAAATGCTTCATGACGGTGGCTCAAGCCTGTAATCCCAGCACTTTGGGAGGCCGAGGCGGGTGGATCACGAGGTCAGGAGATCGAGACCATCCTGGCTAACATGGTGAAACCCCGTCTCTACTAAAAATACAAAAAACTAGCCGGGCGTGGTGGCGGGCGCCTGTAGTCCCAGCTACTCGGAGGCTGAGGCAGGAGAATGGCGTGAACCTGGGAGGCGGAGCTTGCAGTGAGCCGAGATCGCGCCACTGCACTCCAGCCTGGGTGACACAGCGCGAGACTCCGTCTCAAAAAAAAAAAAAAAAAATGCTTCATGAACTGTACTTAACACGGAGCCAGCACACAGAAGGTGTTCAACGAATGTTCCAGGGTCTTTACTAGCCTGGAGCCAGCACACAGGAGGTGCTTCATAAATGCTCCATGAGCTGCACTTAGCATGGAGCCAGCACACAAAAGGTACTTAATAAATGCTTCATGAACTATACTTAGCATGGAGCCAGCACACCACAGGTGGTTATTAAGTGCTTCATGAACTATAATTAGCATGGAGCCAACACACAAGGTGCTTAATAAGTGCTCCATAAGCTGTACTTAGCATAAGGCCAGCATACGGAAAGTGCTCAATGAATGCTCCATAACTGTACTTAACCTGGATCCAGCACACAGGAGGTGCTTAACAAATGCTCCATGAGCTGTATTTAGCATGGAGCCAGCACACAAAAGATGCTTAATAAATGCTCCATGAACTATACTTAGCATGGAGCCAGCACACAGAAGGTGCTCAACAAATGTTCCAGGGTCTTTACAGCATGGAGCCAGCACACAGGAGATGCTGAATAAATGCTCCATGACCTCCTGGTGTGACACCAGCATACAGAAAGTGCCCAATAAATGCTTAGTGCCCCATATATACTGCATGGAGTCATTTGTTCTGAACCATACACTCGTTTGTTTGGGGGGCAGTCTACAAAGTAACCATCAGACATGGGGGGAAGGTTTTTGGTGTGTTTAGTGGAGTTTAACCCATTGGGTGGCTGCTGCTTGGCAACGTTCAGGTGAGCTGATTCCGAGCCTCTGTGGCCAAAGACATGCATGCTGCTGTGGTCCTGGCTGCTGGTCTGACGGCCAGGTGTGTGCAGACCTTACCACCAGCTCTTGGATGCCTCTTTCCTTTCCAGCCAACCCTCGTCTGTCTTCCCATCCTGACCTAAGTCCCCCAGCACAGACTTGCGTCAAGGCATAACCAGACATTGGAGTCAACCGGGGCTGGGTTGAGCCCTTTCCCGCCCTGTGATCTCCTTCCCTCACCTCCCTGCCCTGTAGCTTCTCCATCTGTAAAATGGCCAATAGCTCCACATGGTGCTCCAGTGAGGATTAAACAGAGGTGATAACGCTCTGAAGATTCTAAAAAGACACACAAAACATAGAAATTTTTGTTTTGTTTGTTTGATTTGTTTTGTTTTTTGAGAAAGACTCTGTCTCTGTCACCCAGGCTGGAATGCAGTGGCACGATCTCGGCTCACTGCAACTTCCGTCTCCCAGGTTCAAATGATTCTCCTGCCTCAGCCTCCCAAGTAGCTGGGATTACAGGCCTGTGGCACCACGCCCGGCTAACATTTTTTTTTGAAATGGAGTCTTACTGTGTCGCCCAGGTTGGAGTGCAATGGTATGATCTCGGCCCACTGCAACCCTTACCTCCCTCAAGCGATTCTCCTGCCTCAGCCTCCCAAGTATCTGGGATTATAGGCACACGCCACCACTTCCAGCTAATTTTTGTATTTTTAGTAGAGACGGTGTTTCACCGTGTTAATGAAGCTGGTCTCGAACTCCTGGCCTAAAGTGATTTGCCCACCTTGGCCTCCTAAAGTGCTGGGATTACAGGCGTGAGTCACCACACCTGGCCAGAAATGTTTATTTTTAAGATAAAGTCATGTAGCAATTTCACCTGAGCCCAGCAGAAATAAGTGCGTGTGTTCACCAAAACATGTGCATAAAAATGTTCATGGGCCGAGTTATCCATAATGTCCCTAAACAGGAGTGTCCCCCTGCAGTGGGCTGGATAAGTCACTTGTGGTCTGTTCACCCAGTGGAATACGATACAGCCATGAAAACTACCAGTTGCTGTACCCCAAAATGTGGATGAATCTCAAAAAAAATCACATTAAGCAAAAGAAGCGAGACACAAAACAGCGTGTTCTGTATGAGTTCATTGAGCAAGTTCAAGAACAGGGGAAACAAATCCAAGATGACAACGGCAGAGGGTGGTTTCCCTGGGGAAAATGTACCCATGGGAGGGGGCACTGGGCACTTTCTTGGGGGTGAGAAGTGAGCCGTAGCTCTTCCTGGATGGTGGTTGTGTGGGTCTATGCATCTGTAAAAATCCTTCGAGCTGACCCCTTGCAGAGCTATATTGTTGGTAAGTTGTACTTAGAGAAAATAAAAAACAGGAAATGAGGCCAGAAGCAGTGCTCACGCCTGTAATCTCAGCACTTTGGGAAAGCCAAGGTGGGAGGATCGCTTGAGCCCAGGAGTTCGAGACCAGCCTGGGCAACATGATGAAACCCTGTCTCTATAAAAAATACAAAAAAAAATGTAGCTGGGCATGGTAGATTGTGCCTGTAGTCCCAGCATCTCAGGAGGCTGAGACGGGAGGATCGCTTGAGCCCAGGAGGTGGAGGCAGCAGTGAGCCATAGATTGCACCACTGCACTCCAGCCTTAGTGACAGAGTGAGACCCTTTGTAAAAAAAAAAAAAAAAAGGCCAGGCATGGTGGCTCACACCTGTAATCCCAGCACGTTGGGAGGCTGAGGTGGGCGGATCACCTGAGGTCAGGAGTTCGAGACCAGCCAACATGGTGAAACCCCATCTCTACTAAAAATACAAGAATTATCCGGGCTTGGTGGCACACACCCAGCTACTCAGGAAGCTGAGGCAAGAGAATTGCTTGATCTCGGGAGGCAGAGGTTGCAGTGAGCCAAGATCACGCTACTACACTCCAGTCTTTTGACAAAGTGAGACTCTGTCTCAAAAAAAAGTAAACAAAGAGAATGCCACATTTAGCATTTAGCAAAATTTTGTAACAAACACCACACTGGGGATTAGGCACAAAATATTGGGTAACCCAAAACCATTTAATGATCAGAAAGAGTGAGGGAGGGGAGGGAAGAGGAGGGGGGATAGGAAAATGGAGGAGTGCTCTTCTTTTCCTACTGGTAGGAAGTGAGGTCTTCAGGCTTCCTGGGAATTCGGATGGCACCTCTTCCCCAGCAGAGCTTCCTGGAATTCTCCCTCTGGAACTCTCCCTCTCCTTCTAGGTTCATGAACCACCGAGTCCCTGCCCACAAGAGGTACCAGCCCACAGAGTATGAACATGCGGCCAACTGTGCCACCCATGCTGTGAGTTGGCTTTTGGGGGGTTCAGGGCTGAGATGGGGACACTTCCAGGGAGGGGGGTGGGGGAAGGCAACTCCTTCACGTATGTCCCAAGTGGCCCATTCCTCGCGTCTTCTGTGGCCCTCAGGCCCTCAGAAGAGTGAGTGCGTCTCGAGGGAAGGCCACTGGGGTAAATTGGGCTGCAGTGCTGGGCTTGCCTCTGTCTTGCTCTAAGAACCTTTGATGGGGCTGGGCGTGGTGGCTCACGCCTGTAATCCCAGTACTTTGGAAGCCTGAGGCAGGCAGATCACCTGAGGTCAGGAGTTTGAGACCAGCATGGCCAACATGGTGAAACCGCATCTCTGCTAAAAATGCAAAAATTAGTTGGACATGGTGGCAGGCACCTGTAACCCCACCTTTGAGAATTAATTCTCAAACCCCCCACCTTGACCTGTTCGACCCCGGGGTCTATTGTGTGTTTGGCCTGAGCCCAGGGCTTTCACGACGAGCTGCCGGTGTAATAGAAAGGAGTGGCTGGTGCTGATTTGAACTTGGTGTGTGCCAGGACCACACTGAGTTCTTTTTTTTTTGAGACGGAGTCTCACTCTGTCCCCCAGGCTGGAGTGCAGTGGTACGATCTCGGCTCACTGCAATCTCTACCTCCCGGGTTCATGCCATTCTCCTGCCTCAGCCTCCCGAGTAGGTGGGACTACAGGCACCTGCCACCAAGCCCGGCTAATTTTTTGTGTTTTTCTTTTTTCTTTTTTTTTTAAGACAGAGTCTTACTCTGTCACCCAGGCCGGAGTGTGGTGGTGCAATCTTGGCTCACTGCAACCTCTGCCTCCTGGGTTGAAGCAGTTCTCCTGCCTCAGTCTCCCGAGTGGCTGGAATTACAGGCACAAGCCACCATGCCTAGCTAGTTTATGTATTTTTAGTAGAGGTGGGGTTTTACCATGTTGGCCAGGCTGGTCTTGAACTCCTGACCTCAGGTGATCCTCCTGGCCTTGGCCCCCCAAAGTGCTGGAATTACAGGTATGAACCACCACACCTGGCCAGAAATGATTTTTTAAAGTTATAATTTCATCGTCTACAGCAAGGCTTCTATCTTCCCTGTTGATGTTCAGTCTGTCATGTGCAGATGGACATGTAGGTGGCTGATGGCCTCTTATTAAGGAGCCATCCCATTCTGGTGCGTTGCTGTTGACCTGTCCCCATCCAGCCCCGACATCCAGGCGCCCAGCCTGGATGTCGGGGAAGCTAGCAGGACACCTCCTTCCTTTGGGACTCACCTGGGCTGATTTTGCAGACAGATTGCTTTTCAGTGAGTCCTGGAGGATGCACATTGTTGGGGCTGAATTCTCACTGCCTACTTTTCTTTAAAAAATGTTTAAAATTATTTATTTCTTTTGAGACAGAGTCTCTCTCTGTCACCCAAGCTGGAGTGCAGTGGCGTGATCGTGGCTCAGAGCAGCCTCTGCCTCCTGGGTTTAAGTGATTCTCCTGCCTCAGCCTCCTGACTAGCAGACAGGCACCTGCCACCACGCCTGGCTTTTTTTTTTTTTTTTTTTTTTAAAGTAGAGACGGGGTTTTGTCATGTTGGCTAGACTGGTCTCGAACTCCTGACCTCAAGTGATCCACCCACCTTGGCCTCCCAAAGTGCTGGCATTACAGGTGTGAGTCACTGCACCAGGCCCTGACTTGCCCACTTCTTCCCAAAAGGGCTCTTCCAGCATTCCTTCCTTCCTACCTGCCTCCCTCAGTATATATTTGTTAGGTGCCCACCGTGCACTGGTGACCCTGTGCAGCTCGTGTTGTGTGGGGGAAATAATGATTAAGTAAGTCTATCATATAAGATGTGGGGGCTGCCAGGGAGAGAGGGCACCAGGTGCTATAGACAACAGGAGAGGCCTGCGTCAGTCAAAGGACAGAGCAGGTGCTCCTACCAGAGTGATATTAACCAGCTGCTGAAAGATGACTAGGAGCCAATCTCCCAGGGAGTGAAGGGAACAGCATGTTGAGGACAAGGGAACAGCATGTGCAGAGCCCCCGAGGCAGGAAAGTGTTGGGACAACTGGACAAAGGCCAGGAAGGCCAAGGCATAGTGACTTGGGGCAGAGCAGGAGGGAGAGTAGGGAAAAGCAGAGTAGAGGGGCTGGGAAGGGCCAGGCCATGCACCTATAAAGGCAGAGGATTTGGAGATTCCATTCTCTCCAGTGAATCATGGTGGACCATCCACTACTTAAAAATAAATTTTTTTTTGAGATGGAGTCTTGCTCTGTCACCAGGCTGGCGTGCAGTGGCACGATCTCAGCTCACTGCAATCTCCACCTCCCGGGTTCAAGCAATTCTCCTGTCTCAGCCTCCTGAGTAGCTGGGATTACAGGCGCGTGCCACCATGCCTGGCTAATTTTTTGTATTTTTTAGTGGAGACGGGGTTTCACCATATTGGCCAGGCTGGTCTTGATCTCCTGACCTCGTGATCCACCCGCCTCAGCCTCCCAAAGTGCTGGGATTGCAGGTGTGAGCCACCGCACCCGGCCACCATCCACTATTTAAACCCGTTTACAAACTGAATGGTACCTGGGCGCCTGTGCTGCTCAGGGCTGGGCTCTTCCTTCAGGGCAGTCCAAGCAGATGAGGTCAGGACATCTGTGATGATGATGTGTGACATGTGGCACATCATACTTCTCTGTGTGGTGTCCCAGAGAGGGGCTGGGGTGTGGTGGGGGCGGCCACTCCCTGCACGTGGTCTTTGACCGTTTCCTACATGGACCCCTTTGAGATATTTGAATCAAGTATCTAGACCTGCACTGTCCAGGTTGGCAGCCACTGGCCCCATGTGGCTGTTGAAATTGACACCTGAGGCTGGGAATGGTGGCTCACACCTATAATCCCAGTCCTTTGGAGGCCAAGGTGGGAGGATCGCCTGAGGTTAGGAGTTCAAGACCAGCCTGGGCATTATAGCCAGACCCCATCTCTATAAAAAATGTAAAAATTGGCCAGTTATGGTGGTGTGTGCCTGTAGTCCCAGCTACTTGGGAGGCCAAGGTGGGAGGATCACTTGAGCCCAGGATGTTGAGGCTGCAGTGAACTGTGATTGTACCATTGCACTCTAGCCTGGGGGAGGAAGGAAGGAAGTAAGGGAGGGAGGGAGGGAGGGAGGGAGGAACGGAGAGAGGGAGGGAGGGAGGAGAAGGAGGAAAGGAAAAGAGAAAGAAAAGAAAAAAGGAAAGGAAAGAAAAGTGGAAAAGGGAAAGGAGAGGAAGGAAAGAACGGAGGAAGGAAGGAAGGAAGGATGGAAGGATGAAAAGAAGGAAGGAAAGGAAAGGAAGGAGGGAGGAAAGGAAGGAAGGAAGGAAGCAAAGAAGGAAGGAAGGAAGGAAATTTACACTTGAATCCATTAAAGTAAAATAAAATGATTCCATTCTTCAGTGGCACTGACCACATTTCAAGAGACGAGTGCTGCCACGTTGGGCAGCTCAGCCGGGGAAGGGGCAGGAGGCGTGCTCTGAGCCACGCAGCTGCTGCACCTGTCCCCGCCGTCCCTGCCCCTCCAGTTCTGGATCATCCCCAGCATCCTGGGCAGCTCCAACCTGTACTTCCTGTCAGACGATGACTGGGAGACCATCTCTGCCTGGATCTACGGCCTTGGCCTCTGCGGCCTCTTCGTGGTGTCCACCGTGTTTCACACCATCTCCTGGAAGAAGAGCCACCTCAGGTGCCTCCTGCCCAGAGGGGACCCATGCCGGGTAGGGGGTCGGGGCAGGGGGACCCATGGCGGCCCGGGGGGTGAACCAGGACATCCAGTCTGCCTAGTGACATTCTCTGCTGAGCTGGGAGGGGCTGGGGTAGGTGACCCACAGGCTGGCTTTGCAGGAGGCACAGGCCCTGCCTTACACAGGCTGCAGTTGGGTCTCTTTGGGGCAGACCACCTCGCCCAGGGGAGCCTGGTTTGCTCACCTATTATTATTATTTTTTTTGAAATAGAGTCTCACTCTGTAGCCCAGGCAGGAGTGCAGTGGTGCTATCTCAGCTCATTGCAACCTTCGATTCCTGGGTTCAAGCAATTCTCCTGCCTCAGCCTCCCGAGTAGCTGGGACTACAGTGTGTACCACCACATCCAGCTAAATTTTGTATTTTTTTTTTTTTTGGTAGAGATGGAGTTTCTCCATGTTGGCCAGGCTGGTCTCAAACTCCTGACCTCAGATGGTCCACCCACCTTGGCCTCCCAAAGTGTTGGGATTACAGGTGTGAGCCACTGCGCCTGGCCAACACTGTGCCTGGCCAACTTTTTTTTTTTTTTTTTTTTTTGAGAAAGAGTCTCAATCTGTTGCCCAGGCTGGAGTGCAGTGGTAGAGTCTTGGTTCACTGTAGCCTCCACCTCCAGGGCTCAAGCAATCCTCCTGCCTCAGCTTCCTGAGGCACTGAGATCACAGGTGTGTGCCATCATGCCTGGCTAATTTTTGTATCTTTTTGTAGAGATGAGGTTTCACCATGTTGCCCAGGCTGGTCTCCAACTCATGGGCTCTAGTGATCCACCCGCCTCAGCCTCCCAAAGTGCTGGGGTTTCAGGGATGAGCCTTCACGCCTGGCTTGGTTTGCTCGCTTCTGAGAGGAGCAAGAGAAAAGCCCTTGCTGGCTGCAGGGTGGTCATGACGGGCCAGCTCCCCTCTGGGCTTTGTTCCAGGCAAGCTACAGGTGCCATTCCCTAATCTTTTCACTAATTCTGCAATGTAGGCATTAGAATCCCTGAGTTTTACATTTTCGATTTTTATTTATTTATTTATTTTTTATTTTTTTTGAGATGGGGTCTCACTGTCACCCAGGCTGGAGTATGGTAACGGTTCATCTCGGTTCACCTCCACTTCCAGGGCTCAAGAGATCCTCCTATCTCAGCCTCCTGAGTAGCTGGGACTACAGGCATGCACCACTGCATTTAGCTAATTTTATGTATTTCTTGTAGAGATGGAGTTTCATCATGTTGCCCAGGCTGGTCTTGAATTCCTAGGTTCAGGTGATCTGCCCTCCTTGGCCTCCCAAAGTGCTGGGATTACAAATGTGAGCCACTGCGTTTGGCTAGTTTTGATTAAAAAAAAAAAAAATTACAGCGAGGCCAGGCAAGGTGGCTTATGCCTGAAATCCCAGCATTTTGGGTGGCCGAGGTGGAAGGATCACTTGAGGTCAAGAGTTTGAAACCAGCCTGGCCAACATGGTGAAACCCTGTCTCTACTAAAAATACAAAAATTAGCGAGGCACGGTGTCTGACACACACCCATAATCCCAGCTACTCAGGGGGCTGAGGCACGAGAATTGCTTGAACCTGGTAGGTGGAGGTTGCAGTGAGCTGAGATAGTGCCACTGCACTCTGACTTGGGCAACGGAGTGAAAATCTGTCTTTAAAAAAAAAAAAAAGAAAGAAAGAAAGAAAGAAAGAGAGAAAGAAAGAAAAGAAAAGAAAAAGAAAAAGAAAAAGAAAAGAAACCTTATTTGCTCAAGGTTGCATAGCAGCCACATTCAACCCAAACTGACTCTAGGAATCCAGGCCCCCCATAAAGCTGTATGCCACTCCCTTTAATTTCTAGGAAGACATGCAGTTGAGCCGTGCATACAATCATTTGTCAAATTTGTTCAGGGCTGCACTTTGCTAGACAGAACCACAGTTTGTACAGGTCAGTGATTGCTTTGTAACGAAGTATGCCAGAGCATTGTGGCTTAAAATAACAAGAAACACTTACTCTCTCTCAAAGCCTCAAGGGGTTAGGAATTTGAGAGCTTTAGCTGTGTGGCTCCAGTCCGTGGTGTTTCCTGTAGTCAGAGGTTGGCTGGGGCTGCTGTCATCTGATGGCTTGACTGGGGCTGGAGAGTCTAAGCCCCCTCACTTGGCTGGTGAGTTAGTGCTGGGTTGTAGTGTGGCTGTGTCTTCACAGCCACATGGGAGCTTGTTTCCCCCAAACTTAGCAACTTAACAGAACAAGCCAGAAGCTGTAATGTCTTTTATGATCTGGCCTTAGGAACCATACACCATCATTTCTGCAATGTCCTAGTGGTTCCCTGAGTTTACCTTATTTGTTTTGGGAGGGGAGAGTCCCAGTGTGTGAATACCAGGGGTGTGACTCATTGGGCACCACTGTGGTGGTTGGCACCATGACAGTCCCATGTATTGAGGGTTATCGCTCACTATACAAGGTGAGGTCATCATAAAAATGGTTATTTATTTATTTTTATTATTTATTTATTTATTTTGAGACAGAGTTTCACTCTTGTTGCCCAAGCTGGAGTGCAATGGCATGATCTTGACTCACTGCAACCTCCGCCTCCCAGGCTCAAGCAATTCTCCTGCCTCAGCTTCCCTAGTCGCTGGGATTACAGGCACTCACCACCACGCTCAGCTAATATTTTGTATTTTTAGTAGAAACAGGGTTTCACCATGTTAGCCAGGCTGGTCTCAAACTCCTGACCTCAGGTGATCCCCCACCATGGCCTCCCTAAGTGCTGGGATTACAGGCATGAGCCACCACACCCGGCCAAAACAGCTGGTATTTATTGAACACTTACTATATACTGCACTGAATATTAGCTAATTTAATCCTCCCTACAGCCCCGTGTCAGGTTGCTGTCATTCTCCGTATTTTACAGAGAAGGAAGCTGAGATCTAGAGCGAATAGGTAACTTGCTCAAGGTTATGTACTCCTGAAGAGTAGAGCTGGAATTCAAACCCAGGCCTTCTGGCTCCAGAACTCGGATCTGAACCACTAAGTTCTTCCAGCATTAGAATGTCAGCTCCCAGACAGTCTTGAGGGGCACGGAATTTAGTAGTTTTTGGAGTGTTTTTTTTTTTTTTTTTCTGAGACTGGATCTAACTCTGTTGCCCAGACTGGAGTGCAGTGGCACAAACATGGCTCAGTGTAGTCTCAACCTCCCAGGGTCAAGAGATCCTCCTGCCTCAGCCTCTGGAGTAACTAGGCGTACAGGCATGCACTCTTATGCCTGGCTGATCTTTCTAATTTTTAGTGGAGATGAGGTCTCACTATGTTGCCCAGGCTGGTTTCCAACTTCTGAGCTCAAGCAATTCTCTTGCCTTAGCCTCTGAAAGCTCTGGAATTACAGGTGTGAGCCACTCTGTCTGGCCATTTTTGCACATTCTCCACAGAATTCTTTCCCCATTATAAATCTTTGGAAAAACCCAGTATATAAAGCAGAAATGCATAATGGCTCTGATTAAAGTATGGGAGGATGGCCGGGTGCAGTGGTTCACGCTTGTAATCCCAGCACTTTAGAAGGCCGAGGCAGGTGGATCACTGGAGGTTAGGAGTTTGAGACCAGCGTGGCCAACATGGCGAAACGCCGTCTCTACTAAAAATACAAAAACTAGCTGGGAATGGTGGTAGGTGCCTGTAATCCCAGCTATTTGGAAGGCTGAGGCAAGAAAATGGCTTGAATCCGGGATGCAGAGGTTGCAGTGGGCTGAGATCGTGCCACTGTACTCCAGCCTGGGAGACAGAGTGAGACTTTGTCTCAAAAAAAAAAAAAAAAAAAAAATGTGTGAAGGAGGATGTCCGATCCTTACTTGCAGGGGCACAAGGCCTTCAGTGGAATCCCGGAGGCAAGGTGTCTCCATGCAGCCCTAGGGTGATGATAAGGAGCCTTGTTTGAAGACCACTGCCCTGGTCACTTACAGATGGGGATTCTGAGGCCCAAGGGGTCCTGGCTAGATAGAGGAACCCAGCCCCGCTAACCTGTAGGCAGGCACGATCAGCCCAGGGCATAGTTCTGGGGGCACTGGCCCTTCCCTCTGTGCAGGGGCTGTGACCGCTGGCTTCTCTGCCACCCTAGGATGGTGGAACACTGTCTACACATGTTCGACCGGATGGTCATCTATTTCTTCATAGCGGCTTCCTACGCACCCTGGTGAGTACTGTCCCACCGCTCAGCAAACGCTTGGCAGCCTTTCTTTTCATTGTTTGAATTTATTTTTCTATTTGGCTGGGTAATATGTTGACCTGGCGCAGAGGAGTTAGGTGAACAGCTTTCCGCCACACTTTTCTCCTTCCTGGAAGCAGCTGCTTATACCCACTTTCTTGCGTGTCCTTCTTGAGTTATTTTATGCAGAAAAAGCAAATATATACATCATTTTTTTCTTTCTGAGAATTCTGAGACAGAATCTCACTCTGTCACCCAGGCTAGAGCGCAGTAGCGAGATCTTGGTTCACTGCAACTTCTGCCTCCCCGGTACAAGCGATTCTCCTGCCTCAGCCTCCTGAGTAGCTGGATTACAGGCGTGCGCCACCAAGCCCAGCTAATTATTGTATTTTTGGTAGAGACGGTGTTTCACCATGTTGGCCAGGCTGGTCTTGAACTCCTAACCTCCAGTGATCTCCCCACCTCTGTCTCCCAGAGTGTTTGGATTATAGGTGTGAGCCACCACGCCCATCCAAAAAAGCAAATATTAATATGTACATATGTATGCATGTGTCTATATATATGCACATATATATAAATATGTGTAATAGACAGACATGCATACACATGCATATATATACATATATACTTATATTTATATTTACTTAATATTTAATTTATTTAATATAGCTTTTAAATTAAAAAAAATTTTTTTTTAGAGACAGGGTCTTGCTCTATTGCCTATGCTGGAGTGCAGTGTTGTGATCATAGTTCACTGCAGCCTCCAGCTCCTGGGCTCAAGTGATCCTCCCGCCTCAGCCTCCCAAGTAGCTGGGACTGCAGGTGCAAGCCACCATGCTTGGCTAATGTTTTTATTTTTGTAGAGATGGGTCTCACTCTAGCCCAGACTGGTCCTGAACTCCTGGCCTCAGGCCATCCTCCTGCCTCGGTCTCCCAAAGTGTTGGGAGTACAGGCATGAGCCACTGCAGTGGCCACATTTTATAAGTATATATTTATTTTGATTTTATTTTTTGTTTTGTTTATGTTTTTTGAGATGGAGTCTTGTTCTCTTGCCCAGAATTTTCACCATAAAATTCACTTGGATTCTGAAGTTAAGATAAATTATGTAAAGCACAGGGAAATTGGATTTTCAGCCGGGCGTAGTGGCGTGATCTCGACTCAATGCAACCTCCACCTCCCGGTTTCAAACGATTCTCCTGCCTCAGCCCCCTGAGTAGCTGGGACTACAGGCATGTGCCACCACACCCCGCTAATTTTTGTATTTTTAGTAGAGATGGGGTTTCACCATGTCAGCCAGGGTGGTCTCAAACTCCTGACCTCAGGTGATCCGCCTGCCTCGGCTTCCCAAAGTGCTGGGATCACAGGTGTGAGCCCCTGCGCCCAGCCTGAGTCTCTCTTCTTTACCTTTACCCCGGCTGTGATTGACTGGGCACTGCCCTGTGCCAGGCCCTGTGCTGGTATCTGAGCGTATTGTCACAAACAGAACCCCCAGCTCCCTCTCTTTATGGGGGAAAAAGAAACAAACCAAAAACCAAATAAATACTGAAGATTTTACATAATCAGGGAGAATACAGACATTTTCAAAAAGCCAAAATTAGAGCAATCAGAGAGAAGCTGATGGAAATGAAAGAAAGAGACAAATTCTTCAGGCACTGAGACTGAAAAAATAAATTATTTGCAAAGTGAAAAAAACAAGCTGGCTTCTGAATGTGGCCACAGCACCATTTAATGCTGACACACAGTGGAGACACTTCTAATCATTTCCCAAAGATAGACTTCGGAATAAACTATCAAATGGGGTTGTCATGCAGCCATAAAAACAATAGGCACCATTGTCACACGTGAAAGAAGTCCAAGAATCCCATATCCATGAATAGTGTTTGAAAGAAACTAGTTTGTGATGGCGTGTGCCTGTGTTCCCAGCTACTCAGGAGGCTGAGACAGGAGGATCGCTTGAGCCCAGGAAATCGAGGCTGCCGTGAGCTATGATTGTGCCACCACACTCCAGCCTGGGAGAGTGAGCCCTGTCTCTAAAAAAACAAACAAACAAGAACCCGAAACATGTAATTTTAAAAATCCAACTTTTTTTTTCCCCCCCGAGATGGAGTTTCACTCTCATCGCCCAGGCTGGAACTCAATGGTGTGATCTTGGCTCAGTGCAAACTCTGCCTCGCGGGTTCAAGCAATTCTCCTGCCTCAGCCTCCCAAGTAGCTACAGGCTTCCGCCACCACACCCAACTAATTTTTGTATTTTCAGTGGAGATGGGGTTTCACCATTTTGACCAGGCTGGTTTTGAACTCCTGACCACAGGTGATCCACCTGCCTTGGCCTCCCAAAGTGCTGGGATTACAGGCATGAGACACTGCGCCCGGCTGAAAATTCAATTTTTTTGTGCTACATAATTTATCTTAACTTCAGAATCCAAGTGAATTTTATGGTGAAAAAACGTTTGTTTGAATTTCAGCAAAATTTTTAAGTGTCCATTTTCTTCTTTTAAAGTCAAGTTAAAATTAAATGTAATACTTCTAATTAAAAATGATGTGCATAACTTAATTCTCACCCTTTCTCCTTTCCCTTCATCCCGTCCTATCCTTCTACCTGGTGGCCTATTTTTAGGTCTACTTGGAAGGATATCTCGAATGATGTTCACTGATGGTTATTTTAGGTACTGAGACGGGTTATTATTTTTTACTCTTAAACTTTTCAGTGTTACTTAACTTCTTTATAATGACAGACTCCATGCAGGTCACTTTTTTTGGCAGAAGTTGTACGTAACACATTCTCATTTCAGAAATTTATTCCAGGCCAGGTGCGGTGGCCCACGCCTGTAATCCCAGCACTTTGGGAGGGTGAGGCGGGCAGATCACCTGAGGTCAGGAGTTCGAGACCAGCCTGGCCAACATGATGAAACCCCGTCTCTACTAAAAATACCAAAATTAGCCAGGCATGGTGGTGCATCTGTAATCCCAGTTACTCTGGATGCTGAGGCAGGAGAATCACTTGAACGCGGGAGGCAGAGGTTGCAGTGAGCTGAGATCACGCCCCTGCACTCCAGCCTGGGTGACAGAGTAAGACTCCATCTCAAAAAAAAAAAAAAAATAGAAATTCATTCCAGAAAAAACCTAAAGGACCCTCTTCTGCAATCATCACCACTATTAATTACACCTTTCCAGACAAAACCACATGGGACGAGGTTCAGATCTTTTTCTGTGCATTGACAGTTATCTCTTTTGTTTTGTTTTTTTTTGAGACGGAGTCTCGCTCTGTCGCCCAGGCTGGAGTGCAGTGGAGCCATCTCGGCTCACTGCAAGCTCCGCCTCCCGGGTTCACACCATTCTCCTGCCTCAGCCTCCCGAGTAGCTGGGACTACAGGCACCCGCCACCATGCCTGGCTAATTTTGTTTTTGTATTTTCAGTAGAGACAGGGTTTCACTGTGTTAGCCAGGATCATCTCAATCTCCTGACCTCGTGATCCGCCCGCCTTGGCCTCCCAAAGTGCTGGGATTACAGGCGTGAGCCACCGTGCCTGGCCGACTGTTCTCTCTTTATACATACACACAATATTAGTCATCTCATTCTTGGTTCATACCCCCTACCTACCAAATACCTCACAATATAGCTTAGAGATCTATCTATGTTGGTAAAAACAGATCTTCCTCATATTTTTCATTTTTAAATTATTATTATTTAAAATTTTTTTTGAGACAGGGTCTCACTCTGTTGCCCAGGCTGGAGTGCAGTGGTGTGATCATGGCTCACTGCAGCTTCGACCTCCCAGGCTTAAGCAATCCTCCCGCCTCAGCTTCTCAAGTAGCAAGACCCTGTCTCTTAAAATAATTATTAACAAAGGATTGGAGGCCAGGCGCGGAGGCTTAGGTCTGTAATCCCAGCATTTGGGAGGCCAAGGTGGGTGGATCACCTTAGGTCAGGCGTTCGCGACCAGCCTGGCCAACATGGAGAAACCCCATCTTTACTAAAAATACAAAATTAGCCGGACGTGGCGGTGGGTGCCTGTAATCCCAGCTACTCGGGAAGCTGAGGCAGGGGAATCGCTTGAACCCAGGTGGTGGAGGTGGCAGTGAGCTGGGATTGTGCCACTATACTTTAGCCTGGGGCACAGATAGAGACTACATCTCAAAAAAATAAGCGAAACAAAACAAAACAGCGTTGCTTTGGTTAGCTGCCGGAACTGCAGTGATGGAGAATGCACAATTCCCGCCAAACAGGCTTTACCTGTTCATCATCCTGCCAGTTTGAGGTGCTGCTTACCTTTTCTTCTAGATATTATCAATTTTACTAATTTTCCTCTAATCATTGCTTGCTGCTTCAAGTTATCTAGCGCGCTTTCTGCCTGTTCACCTGTCTTCCTGTGAGCGCCCATGTCCCAGCCGTGGAGTGACGGGTGACAGGACTTCCTTAGGGTCCATTTCCTGTGACAGGCCAGTCCTCAAGGGCTGGGGTCTTGGTGGGCCCTCCTCAGGGCCATGGCCTTGGCTCTCTCTCTCCCAGGCTGAATCTTCGGGAGCTGGGCCCCTGGGCCTCCCACATGCGCTGGCTGGTCTGGATTATGGCTTCCGTGGGCACCATCTATGTCTTCTTCTTCCATGAGCGGTAAGCCGGGCCTGGGGGCTGCAGGGTGGCGGGATTCCCTTAGATGCTCCAACCTCCTGGGCAGTACTCCTGGGCAGTTGAGAGCCCAGGATGATGCCATAGTCGTGAGAGCACAGCGCTGGCTGTCATGCCATTCAGGCTCATGGGTGGCCACCAGGTCTTGCAGCCCCTAGGGTCAACTTGAAGTTATCAAAAAGACATCATAGGTGGCCAGGCGTGGTGGTTCACGTCTGTAATCCCAGCACTTTGGGTGGCCGAGTGATCTGCGAAGAAGGAGGATCACTTGAGGTCAGGAGTTTGAGACCAGCCTGACCAACATGATGAAACCCTGTCTCTATTAAAAATGTGAAATTAGCCGGGCATGGTGATGGGCGCCTGTAATCCCAGCTAACCAGGAGGCTGAGGCAGGAGAATGGTTTGAACCCGGGAGGTGGAGGTTGCAGTGAGCCAAGATTGCGCCACTGCACTCCAGCCTGGGCGACAGAGGGGGACTCTGTCTCAAAAACAAACAAACAATAAAAAACACAGGTTCCCAGCCCCATTGAACCGGGGTGGGGTGGGGGTGGTCACATGCCATCTGCCCTCCCTAAATTATTAGAGATGAAGGGAGAGGTCCTGAAAGAGCCACACTCTCTGTATCCCCATTCTGCCGAGTGATGGGGATGGAAATAATTCAGTGGGATTATTATAGAAACAGGATGATAGAAGCAAAAGAGAATAACAGACTTTCTGCAGTCTCAGAGCCCAGGAACCTCTGGAAGTCATTTAGTCCAGGGACAGCAAAGAGGCTTCGGTTGCTGCAGCAACCCAGCTCGATTGGAAGTGGCTGCTTGGGCCCTATGGGAAGAGATGCTGGGATCGAATAGTGATGTCTGCCATGGGCTGAGCATAGGAAGTGCCCGTGTGTGCTATGCCCAATGTTTGTAATCCCTGCTGTGGCACCAGCATGCATTTCACAGATGTGGAAACTGAGTCTCAGGGAGGGAAAGTACCCAAGGTCACACAACTGCCAGCACCTGTTGGATGTAGCTGGGTGAAATCTGAGCCAAGTCGTGCTGGGCAGAGAAAGCGTCCTTTCTTCTCACTGTTCTGGTCAGAGTGTTCCCTCTTCCCCAGGAACACGGAGCTGTGTGCGGTTTCCTTGTGGGGAGGCATGTCCTAAGGCTGGCATGGCTTGTCTTCCTGCCAGGTACAAGCTTGTGGAGCTTCTCTGCTACATCGTGATGGGCTTCTTCCCTGCCCTGGTCATCCTCTCCATGGTAAGTGCTGCCAGCCCTGCATGGATGGGTCCCTGCAAGGGACCAAGAGTGTCTGGGCTGGACTTGGCTGTTGAGATTGTCACACTCTCCTATGGCAGGTGGGGAAACTGAGGCCTGGCATGTCTTGTCTAAAGAGGCAATAGGCCAGGCACAGTGGCTCATGCCTATAATCCAGTCCTTTGGGAAGCTGAGGTGGGAGGATAGTTTGAGTCCAGGGGTTTGAGACCAGCCTGGGCAACACAGCAAGACCCATCTCTAAAAAAAAAAAAAAATTTGCCAGAGGTGGTGCACACCTATAGTCTCAGCTACTCTGGAGGCTGAGGCAGGAGAATCTCTTGAACTCAGGTTGCAGAGGTTGCAGTGAGCTGAGATCGCACCACTGCATTCCAGCCTGGGCTACAAGAGTGAAACTCTGTTTCAAAAGAACAATTTTTTTTTTTTTTGTAGAGGCAGGATCTCCTTATGTTGCCTAGAATAGTCTTGAATTCCTGGCCTGGTGAGGGCTTGGCAGGTTCTTCTTGCTCAATTCCCTCCTATCCTATGAGTGTTTCTTTTTCTGCTGCTGCTTCTTTTTTTTTTTTTTTTAGAGATGGAAGTCTCACTATATTGCCCAGGCTGGTCTCGATCTCCTGGGCTTAAGCCCACCTTGGCCTTCCAAAGTGCTGGGATTACAGGCGTAGCTACCGTGCCCTGCAGAGAGTTTCTTTTATTAAGAGCAACTCATGTTAATAGTACTCACATCCGGGGGCCAGGACTACTACTTTTTTCCTACCATGTTTTTTTTCTCTAAATATTTTTTGCCATGAAGCAAAACAAAAATTATTTTCTCTACCTCTCTCTCTTTTTTTTTTTTTTGCCATGCCATTACTTTAAAAACTTGTGGTAAAATATTCAGTTCAGTGGCAGTAAGCACAGTCACATTGTCATGCGACCATCACCACCAACCATCTTCAGAACGTTTTGCATCTCTGCAAACTATAACTCTGTCCTGTCCTCATTATTTTATTTTATTTTTTGAGACAGAGTCTTACTCTGTCACCCAGCATGGAATGCAGTGGCATGATCTTGGCTCACCGCAACTTCCAACTCCCAGATTCAAATGATTCTCATGCCTGAGCCTCCTGAGTAGCTGGGATTACAGACATGCGCCACCACTCCTGTCTAATTGTTGTATTTTTAGTAGAGGCGGGGTTTCACCATGTTGCCCAGGCTGGTCTCGAACTCCTGACCTCATGATCTGCCCTCCTTAGCCTCCCAAAGTGCTGGGATTATAGGCGTGAGCCACCGTGAGGCGCCTGGCCTCGAGCTCGTTTTGTTTATCCATTCATTCCTTGGTGGACCCCTGGGTTGCTTCCTCCTTTTGTTGTTGTGATTATGCTGCTATGAACATGGGTGTGCAAATATGTGTCAAGACCCTGCTTTCAATTATTTGTGTATATACCCAGATGTATTACATTTTTACAAAAGATAAGCTATAGGCCAGGCGTAGTGGCTCACACCTATAATCCCACCACTTTGGGAGGCCAAGGTGGGCAGATCACCTGAGGTCAAGAGTTTGAGACCAGCTTGGCCAACATGGTGAAACCCTATCTCTACTAAAAATACAAAAATTAGCTGGGCATGGTGGTGCACACCTGTAGTTCCAGCTACTCAGGAGGCTGAGGCAGGAGAATGGGTTGAACCCGGGAGGTAGAGGTCGCAGTGAGCCGAGATCTTGCTACTGCACTCTAGCCTGGGCAAAAGAGCAACTGCATCTTAAAAACAAAAACAAAAACAGGTAAGTTATACAAATATTATTTGAGGCTGAGTGTGGTGGCTCGCCCCTGTAATGCCAGCACTTTGGGAAGCCGAGGTGGGAGAATCACTGGAGGCCAGGAGTTTGAGACCAGCCTGGGCAACATAGTGAGATGCCCCCATCTCCAAAAATAAAATAAAATTAGCCAGGCATGGTGGCACCATGGGATATCTATAGTCCCAGCTACTGAGGAGGCTGAGGCAGGAGGATTGTTTCTGGAGTTGGAGGCTACTGTGAGCTACGCTTGTACCACTGCACTCCAGCCGGGGCAACAGACTGAGACCCCGTCTCAAAAAAAAAAAAAAAATTGGTGAGATTTTAATAGAAATGGGACATCTAAGAACTAGTCTGGGGAGAATCGCTGGCATATCAGTGTTGAGGCTTCCCACCTGGGAGTCTGGGCTGGTTTGCCACCTGTGTGTCTGTTAGTTTTGGGTGGTGGGGACTGGCTGGTACTTCCAGCCACAGTGGCTGCCCCTCTGACCTGTGCCCCACCCTTGTCCTTGCCGACAGCCCAACACCGAGGGCATCTGGGAGCTGGTGACCGGAGGGGTCTTCTACTGCCTGGGCATGGTCTTCTTCAAGAGTGACGGGAGGATCCCCTTTGCCCACGCCATCTGGCATCTCTTTGTAGCATTTGGTGCTGGTACCCACTACTATGCCATCTGGAGGTACCTCTATCTGCCCAGCACCCTGCACACCAAGGTGTCCAAATGAGGTGACCCAGACTCCAGAGGTCACTTGGGCTTTAGGAGTGCAGCACCACAGGAAGCGTTTTTGCCAACGTTAACCCAGAGCACAGCGTGAAGGCCTGTCTTCCCTTCATTGGGTAGAGTTCTTGATGGCTCTGAGGTGACTTCTGGTGATGACCAGATCGTCCCTCGAGTCCCCAGCGAGAAAGCAAGCATTTAGCCATTCTCACAGAGGAGAAATTAACCCTGTAATGTGTTTCTATTTTAGATGAGTGTTTCCTAATACAAGCAACATTAACATCTTCAGAAAAGGAAGCAGGCGTGGTCCTGGAAAATTGGGGAATGACGGGCCAATCTGTGTTTCAAAGGTCCTGAGGAATCTGGCAAGGAGTCCTGTGGCTTGTTCATACCTGGGTGGCCAGGGCCTCCCTCTCTGCTACCAAAGTCCAGGTTGGCGAATTGTCTCCCGTTCAGGGAAAGGGGACAGCCCAGCTTGTAGATGAGGGATGGTGAATGGCTGTGACCATGGCAGACATCACCAATCAAGTGCAGCACGTGGGTGATGTCAGAATTCTTCCCAGCACTGTGTTCTGGGCAGCCAGTACCAATCAATTTGGCACTCATGATGCGACCTCTTTGCCCTTCCTGTCTGGTGTGCTCTGAAATGGGATCATGGCCAGAGTAGCTGAAAATCTCCAAATGGGCATTTGCATGCCTATCTCCTCATCTCCCCTTCCCTTTTGGGAAGCTCCTGGAGTAGGCAGTTTGGGGGCAGTAGAGGGAAACTGAGGCACACACCCATGCAGCCCCTGATGTTCTGTTCCACCGTAGTTGGTTCTCAGTACAGTTGGGGATGAGGATGCTGTTACTTGGCCATTTCTTCCCATCCCCAAAAATCCACAGACATTACAAGAGCCATTCATTCATAAGATGGGGCAAACAGTCCCTGGGCACTTGCTCCCTGTTCCATACTTAAGGTTTGTGATACCAACCTTTGGATTCTGTCTTGGTGCCAATCAGTGGCTGTTAGAGGCTACTCAGGTGTACCCCAAAAGGAAGGCACATGGATCTAGGGAGACTGTTCCAGGTCCCCTCAACCTCTGAAGTGCCCAGTACCCCAACAACAAGGCTTCTGGGGACCTGTTCTTCAGTCCCCATCAGGGCGGGGCCAGCATCTTTGTCCAATGCTGCCTGGACATTTACTGGGGAGGTGAGTAGCAGGCCCACCTCCAGGATCTGAATTGGAATCTCAGATTCTCTGGATAAAGAATCTGTCTCAAATCAGGAGGTCCTCATTCTGCAACTCCCAACCAGAGTGGAGTGGGCACAGACAGAATGCCTTATGCTTATCTACAGCACATTCCAGTGGGTTCCAGGGCTCCTGCACCTGGAACCCCATATGTCCAAGCCAGTATTAAATTATCTCGACACATTTCACAGACCAGACTGCCTCCATGCTGGGAGATACTGGATAGCTTTTGTCCTCCTGCCCGTGTATGTGCGTGTATATGTGCATGTGTGTGCACACGTGTGTCTACACAAGCATTATATGTCTACACAGGCACTCCTAATGCCTGGAAGCTGTCTTCGGTAAGCCTGCCCTGTGGAGCTCACCAAATATTTCCCACCAGCTGGGGTCAGGGCTGGAGGTCAGTGGGGAAACTTTTGCAGGGGAGGGCTGGTTGGAGAGAGACTTGCTCCCAAATGAGGACAGAGACACTGAAAACTTGACCTCTGCCTGGGCCTGGGGCTGGGAGAGAGGGTTCTGGGGGTTCTGGGGTGCTGTTTAGGAGACCTCCCAAGGCATGGCACCATGTCAGGCCAAGATAAAATCCTGTATCAAGACGCTGATGGACACCAAAGCACCTTCTGGGACCAGAGACTTGGGACTACTTCTCCTTCTTTGCTTCCTTCTTTCCTCCTCCTCTTCCTCCTTCCCTCCCTCCTTTCCTCCCATTCCTCCCCTTCCTCCTCCTCCTCCCCTTCCTCCTCCTCCTCCCCTTCCTCTTCCTCCTTCTCCTCCTCCCCTTCCTCTTCCTCCTTCTCCTCCTCCCCTTCCTCTTCCTCCTCCTCCCCTTCCTCTTCCTCCTTCTCCTCCTCCTCTTCTTCTCTCTTCTTCTTCTTCTTGTTGTTGTTGTTGTTTTTCTTCTTGTTCTTCCTCCTCCTCCCCCTCCTCTTCTCCTTCTCCTTCTCCTTCTTTTCTTCTAAGATACTTTGGCTTATTTTCTTATTTGGATGACTTGGGACTTCTTTAGTGGCCCCATAGCAGCTGCTGACTCCTCAGTCTGACACCTGCACCTCCTGTGCCCCCTCCTCCTGGGCATCTGGGCTTGCATTTCCCCAGGACAGCTTGCCCCTTCATGCCCCTGGATCTTTGGAGGTGCTGGTCCTGCTGGTGGGAACTGTTGATCTCCTTGTCCACCCAACTTACTCCTACTCATCCTTGAAAGTTCAGCTCAGGCATCAGCATTGGGGAACTTCTGGCCTTCCTCTGACTTAGGGGCTTTCCTTCT